AAACACCCAAGACAAATAAAATAACATTAAAAAGTGAGTAAATGTATTTAAGCCTATGGCAATCTACTTCCATAGTGATACCGCCTCGGAAACCCAAGGAGGGGTCACTATGAGTCAGATCCAACTCAATGGCAGTGAATTTGGTCTTTTGGTTATTGCCATCAATTAAATTCCAACTCAAAGCAACCACAAAGGACAGAGTAGAACCACCCCCCATTAGGGTTTCCAGGGCTGTAAATCTTTACAGAAGCAGACTACCGTATCTTTCTCCCAAGGAGAAGAAGCTGGTGGGTTCACACCACAAGCTTTTTTGTTAGCAGCCAAGCACTTATACACTGTACTACCAGGGATCCTCTATAAGTAGACTTAAAAAAAACTCATTGCCATTGCGTCAATTCTGACTCATAGCGATCCCCAAAGGGTTTCCAAGTCTGGAAGCATCTTTCTCTGGCAGAGCAGCTGATGAGTTCAAAGCACCACCTTTTGGTTAGCAGCTAAATGCCTTAACAACTGCACCACCACAGCTCCTTTAAAGCAACCCATATACTCCTTATATAACTAAAAACAGTCAGCATTCACTTTGTAAAAACTCTTTTCAGTCCTCATTTAATGTTTTACTAAAATAATTTTCTTTCTCAAGCACATGAAAGAATTGATAACACATTCAGTTGCCAGCAGGATAAAAAATACTACAATTTTCTGTTATAAAAATAATGAAATTACAATCCTTAGTTGATGACCAGTCAAAAGTCATCAAAACAAAATATTTTATATGTGAGATAGAAAGAGATAATGGTTGTTCACAATATCCTTTTAATTGTTAAATGCAACTATAATTTGGAAATTTGCCACTTGAGCATTTGGAGATAACTTCTATGAATATAAAGAGTTCTGGTGGTATAGTGGTTAAAGGATTTGGCTGCTAACCATGGCATTTCAAACCCACCAGCCACTCTGCCAGAAAAAGATGAGGTAGTCTGCTTCCATAAAGATTTACTTGGAAACCTTATGGGGCTGTTCTCTGTCCTACAGAGTCTCTGAGTCAGAATCGCCTCAATAACAATGGGTTTGGGTGTTTTGGTCTATAAATATGGCAGGTCTTCCCCTGGATATCTATCTTATTAATAAATAACTGATTCTGCCATCCATAACTGATGGCTGATTCTGTTTCAGGTCACCTGGAAATACATCAGACTTCAGCTGGGTAGGAAAAAGTGTCTATTGTGCTGCTTTTAAGAAGGTGGCTACAGGAATAAAGCTAACTTTTCCAATCATCTGACTCCAAGTGGTGAGCCATAAAACTTAAGGATCAGAACTTCTTTGGCACAATATGGGCAGTACCCGGGTTGAACAAGATCCATTCCCAAGTGTGTCTTTAAGTGGATTTTGTAGGTGAGTTGGAATAAGTGCATATGGTTCTGAAATGTCTCTGCTTATAGTCAGTTCCTGTGTACCAGGAGAATAGAAGTAGAGAGCTGATTCAGTGTTCCCTAAGTGACCTCTATTTGTACTGCTATTTTTCAGGACTTTTATTAAATAAAAGAACTCTGGTGGCATAGTGCCTAAGGCATATGACTGCTAACCGAAAGGCAGACAATTCAAATCCACCAGTTGCTCCTCAGAAGGAAGGTTGGGCAATCTACTTCCGTATAGCTACTGCCTCAGAAACCCAAGGAGGGGTACCTATGAGTCGGATCTAACTGGACAGTAGTGCATTTGCTTTTTTTTTTTTTTTTTTTTTAGTTCTAGAAGAGGAGCTCTGGTGGTATAGTGCTTAAGGTATTTGGCTGCTAAACAAAAGGTCAGTGGTTTGAACCCACCAGCCACTCTGAATAAGAAAGATGAGGCAGTCAGCTTCTGTAAAGGTTTACAGCCTTAGAAACCCAATGAGGGGCTCTATGAATGCAAATCAACTCAATGACAGTGAGTTGTTTTTGTTTTTCATTTTTTTGACAGTGCTAGAAAAACTTCAAAGCCTTTTCAATGATTTAAAAGCTACCTTGTAGTCAGTAAAGGTGGTTGTGATGAAGAATTTGTTGCAAGTAAGGGATGGTTCAATCATTTCAAAGTGAGGACAAATTTATGTAACATTAAATGGCAAGTACGAATTGTAAGTTGTCCTTAAGTCAGATGTTTGTAACCCAGGAACTTACTATATACTGAACTCACCTACATTGTGATTAGTGGTTTCTTTTTTTGCGGGGGGATGCTGGCACAGAAGATTTCACTTCATTACAAGCAAATGCAGAGTAGAGTGACAGCAGAAAAGGAAACAGCAACATTGACAAAACACAAGGAATAGAAGAAAGAAGAGTGGATGGTGTAAATGTAACAAAGAATAAATTAATAGCATCGGGTAATAACACAAGAATAAAGTCGCTGGTCACTATATGGTTGCAATGAATGAATTTAATATATGTCGACATACTTTGTTAAAAAGTACAAAGTGTTAATTAGTGAAGATAAGCACAATCTCAGTAATATAGGTGAAAGAAAAATAAATGGACTATATTTTAATAATTATTTCTCATAAAAGGACCACAAAGATGGTGGGAGAAAGGTGGCAAGGAAAACAAGAATGAGACAAGAGAAATTTTAACCTCAATCAAGGAGAAAATGCCTTTACTCTTAGAGAAAATTGCTTCTCTCTGATAATCTATTAATACTAACAAATTTCAGATTACCATTAGCCTTTATGAACTCGATTCCTTTCAGGTTGAAACTCATTATTTTCTTTCTTAAAGAGATAAAAGACCTGTGGGCCTTTCTTTTGACTTTCCATTCAATTGTCAAGAAGAGGGTAACTTAATTTTCTAAATACATCATAATCAAAATTGATGGCAACAGGCAATAGTGACAGAACAGAAGTTAGGATTCAGACAAAGAAACAGAAGGAGTACAATGAAACAAAAACTATTATATAGATATAAATATAAATACAAATATAGGAGCTCTGGTAGCTTAGTACCTAAGGCACTTGACTGCTAACCAGAAGGCTGGCGGTGGTTCAAACCCACCAGCCACTCCTCGGAAGGAAGGTTGGGCAATCTACTTCCGTAGCGATACTGCCTCGCCCACCCAAGGAAGGGTCGCTATGAGTCAGGTCCGACTCGATGGCACATAACAACAACAACAACATATATATAGCAGTAGGAAAGTGTCATGTGAAAAGAAAGACTGACATGTAATAAAATGGACAAATACAGCCACAATTAAAGAGACTCAGAATCAAAGAAAGAAAAGAAGAAACTGAATAAATGAAGTACATTTAGCTCTAACAATAACAAGAAAAAATAGGTAGCTAAAAATGTATGAAAAATAATTGGAATAAAAAGTGAATAGAATGCCTTTATTAAAGGAAAATTGGTATAAAAAAAATCTAAAGGAAACAAAAATGCATATAAATAAACATACTAACCAAAAAAACCAAACTCGCTGCCACTGAGTCAGATCCAACTCATAGCAACCCCTCTTTGGGTTTCCGAGGTGATATCACTATGGAAGTAGATTATCCAGCCTTCCTTCCAAGGAGTGGCTGGTGGCTTTAGAATTGACTTTTCTATAGAGGAGTATTTGAAAATTCTATTTAGACAATTTTTCCATTGGAAAGAACTCTGTCATGAATAACTGTTGTTGTTGTTGTTATGTGCCGTCGAGTCGGCCCCAACTCATAGCGACCCCTCCTTGGGTTTCCGAGGCAGTATCACTACGGAAGTAGGATTGCCCAACCTTCCTTCCGAGGAGTGGCTGGTGGGTTTGAACCGCCAGCCGTCTGGTTAGCAGGCAAGTGTCTTAGCCACTATGCTACCAGAGCTCCCTCATGAATAACTAATATCCCTATAATACAACTATAAGGTGGTCACTAAAAATAATATCTAGTCAGTGCACTGTATAAAGAATCTCCTATGTTGCTAATATGCACTTATAGCCCAGAAGAATAAGGGAGAAAGAAAAGATTACCTGAAAGTCTAAGTTTTACTTAGAGATAACAAAAAAAAGAGAGGGAGGTGTAAAAAGTAAGCAATCAAACTGTTCTAAAAAAGAATTATAACACAGCAATTCTAAAAAGAGATTGCTCTCCAGTTTATGAATATTTTATTTTGATGCTCTTACAATCTCAGTTTTCTATTTAACATAGACTATGGCATAACATTTAGCTAGCTAGTAGTTCATCAGCTTCTGATACACACTTTTTAGTTCTTTCACTTTTTAATAGAGAAAACAAACAAACAGGAAAACCTGTTTCCTCTGCTTTATACTCCTGAGAGGTGCTGTGGAGTATAGTGGTTAAGAGTTCTTGTTGTGGAATTAGATCCAGTTGAGTTCAAACCATGCGTTCTCTACTTAACAGCTAAGAGATCTTGGTCAAGTTTAATTACTTCTGGTCTTTATTTTCTCATTTGTAAAATGGAGATATTTAGAATATTATCTGCCTTATTACATCCCTCCCAGAGTATTTGTGAGAACTCAATTGATAACAATACGTTAATTACTTAGCATAGTAACAAAACCAAAAAAAACAAACTCACTGCCATCAAGTTGATTCCGACTCACAGCGACCCCCTTTGGGTTTCTGAGGCAATAAATATTTACAGAAGCACACTGCCCAGTCTTCTTTTCATGGAGTGACTGGTGGATTTGAACCACCAACCTTCTGATTAGCAGTCAAATGCCTTAGGCATTATGCCACCAGAGCTCCTTAGCACAGTAACAGGTGCATAGCAAATATTAATACCATTATGGTTATTATCATTATGCAACCTGTTCAAGCCAGTCCCCAGGGAGGGCTTATGTTTGCTGCACCAATTATCATTTTTCCTCTCACAAGCAGAAAAAATTCAAAGGGTCTAACCCAGACCACAATCTTCAAAGCCCATCACATCTCCAAGATACTATTTTCATCACCTCCACCAAATACTGAATATTTACACAGACAACTTTCTATAAACACTTTTCTCACCATCAGAATTAAGTTTAACCTGTTGAGACAATATTCTTACCTTGATAAATCATTTGAAATATATTTGTAAATTGGGTCCACAATATTTCCATCCAAGGTGCTTTCAGGGTTGCTTTGCTGTGATATTTCTGTTGCTTTGGTCAAAGATGATAAAGAAGACTGAGAAAGTGTTTCACTGTGATCTTCTGCTTCTCTTTTTGCCATTTTCAGCTAAGAGTGATGAAGAATGTTATTTAAAACGTAAAATCCTACTGAGCAACAAATTGAGGCTGAGCATTAATTACAGCAATTTACTTCTCATGTTCTAGGCCAGGCAATAATTATTAAATATGAAATTTCATTAGACATTATCTCCATTAGAGGCAAGAGCTTAAAGGAAAACAAAATTATGGATCTAAGTCTACAACTGGCACAATCCTATTTAAGAAAGAAAAAGAAAATGCCAACTTGTTGCAAAATATTTTAATTTTGCTGCTTGATAGAAAACCACAATACAAGCAAACCTACATGAGGACTACGTTGTTGAGAAATCACAGCACAATGCTTTCTCTTTTTTGTCTGCCCTCATCTCTTCCTTTTTGCAACCCACCTTCCTCCTGATTCTGATCGAAAACCAAACCCACTGCATTTGAGTCGATTTCAACGCTAGTGACCCTATGGAACAGAGCAGAAATGTCCCATATGGTTCCCAAGGCTATGAATCTTTATGAAAGTAAACACTGCCTCATCTTTCTCCTTTGGAGCTGCTAGTGGGTTCAAACTGCTGATCTTTTGCACCTGATTCTGATAGGACTGTCAATTATATGGCTTTGTAGTGATCTATTTGCTGGAATTGCTATCTTTGAGAATGTAAATCTCCATCATTGAGAATGAAACCAAAACAGATGAGAGCAAAAGTTAGAGAAGGAGATAAGTAGAAACAGGGAGATATTCTCAATGACAACATTTGAATCCCTGAAACCATCTATTAAAAAACAATCACATTTCTTGAGTGTTTTGGAACTGTGAGTCAACAGATTTTTTTTTTTTTTTTTTTTCCTTAAGCTAGTTTGAGTGTTTGAGCTGAGATTCTCTTACTTGCAACCAGGAAATCCTGAGTAATGCACACAGGCAACTGAAATTTTCTTATAAGAAATAATGTTAAAGAAGTTTATTGGTCCTTTCTCAGATTAAGCATGCACACACTGATGCTTACATCTGATGCTGACTAAAGCACTGATAGGAATAGCTATGGCACAAGACTTCTGGCAAGATGGCAGAATAGTCAGACAAGATACTCAGACCTTCTACAACAAAAAACGAGAAACCAAATGAAACAGTTACAGATGATAATTCTGGAACCCTGAGCTTCGAATGAAAGAATAAAGTGGATCAAATACTGATAAGAAGAATAAACTGAATGAAAACAGTGAACAAGGAGACAAATGGAAATGTGAACTGTTAACTGTCCTGACAGTGTGGCCACTTTGAATTTTTGTAAGCAGCATTTTGATTGGGGTAGTAAGTGATAATCAGCTATACTTCCCAAGGACTGCATAGGCACCCTCACAAACAGCTGGTGACAAGAAAGGTGAAATATTCTCTGTATTTCCCTTATTCCCCACACCATCCCAGTGACCAGAGATGCAGCCATTCCCCCATCTGACCCATCTTCTGGACTGGCAGGAATTCCATCTCTGACCAGGTGACCTGCCTCCAGCTGCTTCTGGGCAGGCAAAAACTTGTTCTAGCACCAGGCACACTGACCTCAACCACCTTTTGGGCTGGCAGGAACCCCCTCTGGGACCAGGGGCCCTGTCCCCAGCCATCTTTTGGGCCAACAAGAACTCATTCTGGGATCAGACATCCTGCTGCCAGCCACCTTTTGAGCCTACAGGAACTCCGACTGGGACCAAATGCCATGCCTCTAGTTGTGTCTTGGGCTGGCAGGAACTCCTGGGTCCAGGTACCCTGCCCTCATCTGACCCCCATGGACTGGCAGCAACTTCTTCCAGAACCAGGTGCATGGTCCCTTCTGTCTGCTCAAGCAGCAAGAATGCTACCTGGGTGCCCTGCCCCACCAGTTTTCTCCATTCTTTTTTTCCTTCTTGCTTTTTCTCCTGATTTTCTTTTTATTTTTCTTGTTCTGTTTTTTTCTTTCTTCTTTTTATATTTTCATTTTTCCCATCCCTTGTTTTTCTTTTTGTATTTTTCTTATTTTTACTTTACTACTCTCTTTCTCTTGTTTTCTTATCACTTCCCCCATCCCTTGTGTTTTCTTTTTATCCTTCCTTGTTATTTTTCTTTTCATTTATTTTTTTCTCTCTCCTTTTTTTTTTTTTTTTTTTTTTGTGTGTGCTGTTTGTATTTTTGTTCTCTTGTTGGGTTTTGTTTTCTATTTAGTCCCACCAGATGGGGGCCAGCAACCACAGTACCAAACATCATCTGTACCTCCTGCAGCCATGCAAAATAAATGAGAGCCACCACCTACTTCTGCACCAACTGATCAATGAGAGACAGTGACCAACAGCAGCCCCACCCATCCTCAAATGCTCTACACAAACATGAACAGAAAACTGTGCATACTTTCTCATCCTCAGTCACACCAATCAGGTGAGAAGATGCCTAAGTGCTGCCAAACTAGACATCAGAGTAATACACTAGGCAAAGTGGCTTGGACATATAGGAACAAAATAAAGCAAAAAATAAAAAAACCTGTTCAAAACACACCAACATACAGTACAATCAGCAACTAAATACAAATACAACATCACAATGTCTTGGAGACAACAGAAACTCTCAGTTCATAAAAAGCAGCAAATTAAAGTAGTACAAACAGGGACCAAAATACAGAGCCAGTAAACCTCCTTGAGGAAGAAATAGCATTGGAACCACCTGATAAGGAATTCAAAAGAATTATATATGTTATTGTTGTTGTTATGTGCCATCGAGTCAGCCCTGACTCATAGCGACCCCTCCTTGGGTTTCTGAGGCAGTATCACTACGGAAGTAGGATTGCCCAACCTTCCTTCCGAGGAGTGGCTGGTGGGTTTGAACCGCCAGCCTTCTGGTTAGCAGTCAAGTGCCTTAGCCACTACACTACCAGAGCTCCCAGAATTATACATAGGTACCTTCAATGGACTAAAAAACACATCAAGGAAAACACAGATAAAATCAAGGAAAATACAGTCAAAAGTCTAGAAAAATTAGGAAAACAATACTAGAACAAACTGACAAAATAAATGAAAAATCAGAAAACATCCAAAATATAAAATAGAAATCCAGAAGATTAATACTAATATTTTAGAAATAGATAACATATGGAAAGGGCAAAGGAGCGGAATTGAATCAATTGGAAATAGAACTAGCAATGCTGAAGACAAACCTCGATACTATAAAACTATGGGGGAAAAAAATGAAGAAAGACTAAGATTTATGTGTGACAAAGTCCAGAGGAATAACTTATGTGTGATTGGAATTCCAGAACAGGAATAGACCAAAAAAAAAAAAAAAAAAATCAAGAAACTTGGAAATGAATATATCTAATATGATGAAAGATGAGAAGATATGCATTCAAGAAGTTAATGAACCCCAAACAGGATAGACTGCAAAACAAAATCACCAAGACACATCATAACCAAACTTTCCAAAACCAAAGACAAAAAAAGAATCCTGAAAGCAGCTCAGGAAAATCAAAAAGTTACTTACAAAGGGCAAAAAATAAGACTAAGTTCTGAATTCTCTGCAGAAACCATGCAGGTGAGAAGACAATGGGATGACATATATAAAACCCTGAAAGGAAAAAAAAAATTGCCAACCAATAATTATATTATATACCCAGCAAAACTGTCCCTCAAATATGATGATGAAATTATGATATTTCCACATAAAGATAAATCAAGGGAATCTGTAAAAAACCAAACCAACCTTACAAGAGATGCTAAAAAGATCAACAAGACAGAAAATAACAAATGCTGACGAGGTTGTAGAGAGATTGGGACTCTCATACACTGCTGATGGGACTGTAAAATGGTACAACCATTGTGGAAAGAAAGCAGTATGGCGATTCCTTCAAAAGTTGGAAATAGAAATACCATTTGACCCAGCCATCCCATTACTAGGTATATACCCTAAAGAAGTGAGAGCCATGACA